TGCACGTAGCTTTTTTGTTTTGTCTTTATATATTAGGAATATTAATATCTTATCTGAGATATATAAAATGTAAATATTTTCTGCCAGTTTTTCATTTGTCTTTTGCTTTTGCTTATGATGTATTTTGCCTTGCAAAAGTGCTTTAGTTTTATATTCTCAAAGGCAGCAATCTTTAGGGGAATGACCTTCCAAGCCTGATGAAGCCTCTTACTGCAGCTTCAGGGGTATGAGGAACATGTGTGATGTGGAGTCAAGTCCTGCCATCATCCTGTCTGGCCCTCTGCCTTCATTCAGGGCTGGGCCTCCTAAGCATTTGTTCACCCCTCCCCTCTGGCCATCATGTCTATCCCGGGACACCTGGGATGTAGAGTCCAGTGAATAAGCGAAGCCTGATCCTGGATGAGAATCCACGCTGTGTGCCAACTACCAGTTGCCCGCCTGAAATGCTGGCAAGGAAACTGGAAACCACTTAATTGCAAACTCTCCCATTTCTGTATCTTCAAGGAGCACTCCGTATTAGAGTGCTCCACATTCTTGAGGGCTGGTGGGACAGGGGACCTCCCTCCCTAAATACCACCAGTTTCTTCTAAAGGAACCGTTGAATGATCCCTTCTCAGCAAAGAGGATTTTCCCAGTTTGGTGAGCATAAATTGATTTACTCTGAAAAGGAGCCACCACTTCTTACCTGCCCAAATCCACCTTCTCAAATTATGTTGTGAGATTCAGGGGAAGACATAAGAGGCCATCCTGTGGAAAGGGCGGATGCTCTGTGCTTTGTCAGGGCCAGCCTGTCTTAGAAGGTGGCCCAAGAGGTCCCACCACAAACACTGGACTCAGGAGCCTTCATGCCTCAGAACTTTGACCTGTCATTCCTCTAACCCCAGTAGAGTTCCTCGAAATGGGCTTTAGAGGGCAGGAAATCTGAATGGAAAATTCATTTAGGTAGGAAACACAGGCTTTGCATCCTGACAGATGAGTCAAAATCCCAAGTTCACCCCTTAATATTAAGCTCTGTGGTCTCAAACAAGACACTTCCCCTCTCTAAATCTCCTTTTCCTCATCAATTCCTACTGTAGCATTGTTGTAAGGGTTAGACTTGGACCAGCCCTACACAGTCCTCTAAGAGTTTGCAGAATACACAGGAGGAAGGGGTTGGAAGGTCAAGGGTGAGCTGAGGGGCCTGATGTGCCTGAGGAAGTTTGCAAGCAGCACATCTTTGCACTCACACAGAAATACTGGGTCATACAAGGCGTTGACGATGTTTATCACTAGATGGTGGAATTGCCAAGAGTCTCATTTTCCCCTTTAGTGCTTCTTGGCATTTTCCCAGATTTTCAACATTGAATATGTCACCTTTGTAATTGGGGGGAACAAAGTAAATGTTAGTTAAAAAAATAAAAAAGAAAGAAAGAAAATTTTAAGAAACTATCAGGTTAAATGCTAGGTTTATACCATACATGCAATGAACAGAAGCTGAGAAAATAGTGAAATATTAAAATAAAAAAATAGATAAATTTCTAAAGAGCATATCAAGAGTTTGAAATACATTTACACTTTTTATCTCAGGCCTTCCACTTTTGGAATTTACAATAAGCAATTACAAAAATACATATTTGCCTGGAAATGTACTTTTATTAGCATAAAATTGGAATCAGCCTAAATATACAATAATACGTCCCACTGAGATTGTGCCAGCAGGGGGAAAAATGATATAATTTTATGTGACTAAAAGCTGAAACAAAATTTGATTTACAATATTTTTAGAAATATTTAAATGTGAATAATGAATAATTTATTTTTTTATTGTTAAACGACATACATTTGTGATTATGCTACTTTTGTAATATATTTTTTAATAATGGAGTTTTCTTTTCCCATATCTTAGAAAAAGAAGTCCTTCCACATAAGCTTCTATCAGACTGATCTCTACTCATTCCATCCTACTGAAACTTAAGATTCCTGTTTCTAACTCAAAAGATCTTTTCTAGGTTGTTATTCTCCTCTAACTCTCTGGATCCTGTGACATTAACTACCCTCTCCTTTATAAGAGCAAGGTGGTAACTCCTCTGGGAAAGCAGGATTTCCCATGCAAAGCTTTCCTCCTAAACTGGTCCTCTCACCACAGCACCAAACAGTTGTTTCACTTTCTATCACAGAGGGCTGTTTCTCTTATTCTGATATATTAATTAACAAATGACTTAGGAATATAAACTCCTCCTAGAAGAAACAGGAGACTTTGTTTAGGGGTTCAGACCCTCCCCTTTAGTCATTAGGGAAGAGAAACCATTGCATAGCCAGAGATGTAGGTGAGACAGTCATCTGGAGAAAGAGAAAGATTAAGTTTGAGGTAGGAGTCAATAGAGGTGCCTATCACCATTCCTCAAATCTCAAACATTTCTTCGTGAACTGGATTTGTAACACCCAGAAAACTCCCCAGAATTTCACTACTAAAAAATCAAATCGTTCCTGGACAAGAGTTATATTTTCAACTACTGGGGGAAGATGTTTTTGTCTGTAAGCCAAACTGCTGTAGTTTTCCAATACCGTATCCTGATATATATCCTTCATTGCTAGCTTCAACCAACCCTACTCCTTTTTAGAAAAATAAAGTCCACATTTCTTGAATGTCAATAGACCAAGAAATAAACAGAGTTACCCACCAAAAGGCTGGGATCTCACATTCTCAGGGAGGATTTGTGGACTCAGACAAGAGAGACAATTAATGTACAAGGGTACTTCGAAAAGTTCATAGAAAAATAGAACTAGAAGATACTATGAATCTTTCCATGAACTTTTTGAAGTACCCTTGTATATGACCATGCTTTTATCCAGTGTTCAGGGTCCTGAATTAAACAATACCAGATTGGTTAAATTATGGAATAGCATAAAAAATGTAATTACAGACAAATATGTTCATGATTTCAGGTAAGAGCAGTTTACCAGACTGCATGTGGCAGGTACTCCTTTTGAAAAGTACTATATAAAAACAGAAAGATAAACAGAAGGGCAGATATAAATGGACAGAACAATTATGGAAAATTATACCCTCAAATTTCACCGTAATTATCTCTAGATTGTGCGATTATGAATAATGCTAATTCTTTTTTGTTATGAGTACTTTCTAAAATTTCTACAATCACCACATAATTCTTTGGAATCAGGTATTTTTTAATATTTGTGAGGTACAGCGAGTTGTTTCAATACATGCATAAACTGTAATACGATCCATTTAGTGTAGATTACGCATTTGCACCTAAACACCTTATCTTTTCTTTGTGGTGATTACATTCAAGATCCTCTTTTCTAGCTATTTAGAAATTTTCTATTATATTCAGAATGTGCATTTTTTAATTCAAAACACATAGAAGTGAAGTGGCCATATCATCACTTTCTAAATTTCTCTTTGGCAGATTAAGTAGTCTAAAAAAATTGATATGATATAGAAGAAAGTTACCCTGGCAGAAGGCTGGCTTTGCACCAGCTTGGTCCTCTGCCTTCCTGTCCTCCACAAGCAAACACACTTAGGTACACACAGACACACACAGACAGTGGGATGTTAGAGAAAAACCAGAGCCACTCACCCCTTTCCAGGATCAAAGAAAATAGAAAAAGATCCTTACTTTTTGTGGCTGCCCTCTGTTCTTGAACTTATAACACAGTCCATGAATAAGGTCAGGTAGGATAAATTTAAAACTATCTCTTTGAACTGTAGGTTCACAAATGTGAAATTCAATGATCCTTACTTAGGTTGCCTCTTAAGATCAGTAATCAGAAATACCTAAGCTCTGAGCTTTGCTTTTATTGCATTATTTTATTTGATCTAAGCACAAAACTGCAAGCCAGCATTCCACTCTTACTTTCATGGAAAAAGAAACCCAGTTAAGAGACTAGAAAATGGCTGAGTTGGTATTTGAATCCACATCCAAAATACATCTTTCCACATCACTGTGCCTGCAAGGGAAATGCTGCCTTTACCCTCTCCTGAAGAATGTGTTAAAGAGGCAATGTTGGAAATTTCTTGCAAAAAGCATTTTTGGACAAAGAAAGCATTAGCTTCATTCGCATCACCATCTCCTTATCCCGAGCAGCAGTAGAAGCATTCCTTTACCTATATTAGCTAATTTAGTCCTTCCCAACAATTCAATGAGTTAGATGCTATTATCATTACCACTTTCAAATGTGGAAACTGAAATACATCTCTGAGACTGGAGATCAGACATTCTGGCTCCAGAGTTCACACTCTCAACTACTACACCACAGAGGTCACAAGGTCTGAGAGAAACAAGATCAAATCGAGACAGTAGCTCTAGACTCTGGCTCAAGGACAAACTGTAGCACCCTGGACAGGGAAGGTTCCCTCACTCAGAGACCGCGCATAACAGGGCCTGATCAGCATCCAGGACATCGGATCCCCGACCATACTATACTGGACCATGCTGCCTCAGTATGTGTAAAGTCCGGGACTTCTCACACTTTTCCACACCAGAGTCGCCGAACAGCAGAAGAATATGAACAACTAACTACCTGTGGCTGTCTGGTAGTTGGCCAAAATATGACGCCCCTTAACAATCAACTCCTTGACATCTCCTTTATAACATTTTTGCTGATTTTTGCATTCTCCTTCATAAACCACACTTATTTCACCATAGATATAATATTTAAAATTAGTTACCAGATAAATTCTTAGTCTTGTTTCTGCTTCCAAACCTTCTGGTAAAATGGCTGCTCCACGGAAATGGTGATTTAATGGATGAGAAAATTTTTCACCAGACACACTTAAACAGTCACACACAACTGTGTATCCACCGTTACGTGGTTCCAGTCACACATTCAAAGACCCACGCCGAGTCAGAACCAAACACCACACACCATCCCAAGAACCACCGCAAACGCAGTCACTGCCACTCGCACACTCGATCAGTCATCCACAACCAGAAAATCACACCCACACAGAAAACTCAACGCCCCAAGCCTACCCGCAGCGACCCACGGAGTCGAACATGCGCTCCGCACTGGACCACGCACGCACGCACACACGCACACACAGGCTCCGCCCACCCGGAAATACCGTGAGATCCGGTTTCGAGGCTGGGCTTCGGGCTTTGCCCCTAGAGACTACGTTTCCCAGGACAGATTGCGGCGCTGACCCAATCACGACGCAGCATCGGCGGCGCTTTGTGCGCCTGCGCCATCTTCCGGCTCCGGGCGGCGAGTCCGCCAGTACCAGGGTGGAAGCGAGTTCTGGGCCGCTGAGGGCGCAGCTACCGTAGTACCTGGACCCAAAGAAGGCGGCAGGTGAGGGGCTCCAGAGCTTTCCAGGCCCTCTGGGTTCCGTGCGGGAGCCGACGCCGTGGCCGGGAGGGCCTCGGGCTTTAGAAGAACCGAAACATCTCAACCCGGCGTCGGTCTGTTGGTTTTGTGGCTGTGGACTACTTTTCCCGCCGACCCTCGCTGCACGTGCCCCGTTAGCGCCCCCTTTCTGCGTTCAAGCTCACAGCCCAGGTCCATGGACCCCTTAGATGGGTGTGGAGGGGTCCGCGATCCCCTAGAATTGCGGATGTTTTGCATTCGTTCATATGCGTGTTTTTTGTTTTTGTTTTTTTTAAATCTGGGGCTGAGTCTTGTTTCGTGATGTTTTCCAAAATTTGCAAGACCCCAAAAGATTTAGAACCACGAGTTTTAGAAGCAGAGAGTTATTCTTGGGAACGTTTAGATGATCTTGTCCAAATTCCACGTCCAACCGTGGGGAGACAGTTGAGTAAATCAGGTCGTCCATGTCATAGGATATTGTACAGCTAATACAAACAATGCATATAAAAGTGGTCATAATAAGGAAAAACTGCCTGTTAAACGACATTCGTAATTACTTCATTGGCACATTACTTAGAATTATTTGTAATATGTCAGGCACTGTACTACGCTCTTTTACAGGATACCACTCGTTTAATGACGAAGGCAAGAAGTGCTTAAATGACAACACTAAATACTTGGGTATTTTCTATTTCTGTTTTGTTTTTGTTTTGTTTTTAGCCCATGTGTCAGTGGGTGGGTGGGTTTGACTTCTTTTTGCTGAATGTTCTCATATTGTGAAAGGATCCAGTTGTGAAAATATTTTGTCGTTTAATGTTGGAACATCATTTCTGATAGTTGCTTGGTGTTCTATTATATGGATGTGCCAAAAATAATTCAACCACTTGCCTACTTGTAGACTTGCTTATTTATGTACTTATTTTCTATTCTGTTCTTCGGCAAATATTATTGTGCATGCAGCTTTGCACACTGCTCTGTTTCTGTGGAAGGACACATTTTATGTGCTGATAATAGAGCGCCGACCCTGCTCCATGTAATTTGTCTAATTCCCTGCAACCCCATCCCATTTGTTGACTAAAAGAAGGCCCCAGGAAGCTTCATATTGGGCTGTAGGGCTCGTTGTAAATTTGGAAGTTGGGAAAAGAGTCAGGCAGACTTCTGAAGGTGTTACATTTGATGCATGCATGAGAGAGTTAAGTTGCCTGGTTCTGGAAAGGCTTTATTCTGGGCTGGGGCTATGCAAATTATGCAGGCAGGCCCTTTGTGCTCTCTGGCTTAAGGAGAGCTTTTCTTGTCCCTGAGGTACCGTGTGAGTCTCAGTCACTGGAACAGGTCTGAGCATCCCTGTCTCACATTTGCATCAGCAACAAGGCAGAACCTCTGGTTATTTAGGGGGAATGGAAAAGAAAAGACCACTTGTTTCCCATGTCCTTGCAGCAGCTAAAGCTGGTTTCCTGGGGTTGGGTGAGGATCACAGATTGTCCCAACTCTATTTTTTTGGTGGGTGGAGGGCAAGTAGGTGGGGACTTTTAACCTTGGCATTCAGAGAGCTGTGAGGCAAGCCTAGCCTCTCATGTTTGCTCTTTCCTCCCCAGCTCTGCCATCTCAGGACTCTGCCCTTCCCCAAGAGAGGAACCAGGAGGAGGACCCATCAGCCCTTGAAATTCTAAAAGTCATGTCCCTTGTGAGTTTTAAAATCATGTAAATATTTGCTTTCCTTATCTTGATACTTCCCACCTGGGTTCCATCCAGGAATTTGGTTCTCAGAGGTTCCCATTTCATGGGGTAAAAGGACCAGGTGTCTAGTCCCCTCTCCCATTGCCCCTTCCTCTCTGACAGATGCCCAGGGATTCATACTGTGGAGCATTCCGCATCTACTGATGGTTCAGTCTTCCGCCAGGAGGTCAGATGGGGCAGAAATCCATTTCCCTGTATGAAATGAGAGCATCCCTTGTAGGAACTGACATTTGAAGAGATGGAAATAAACACTTATGAGTGGTCACATATGGAAAAAGCAGGGGAGATGGTGTTGGTTGTCTCAATTTCATTGTGTGGTGTAGTGTCCTACTTTGGGAGAGACTGATGATTGGGTGTATAATTGAGGCTTAGCTAGGAATCCATGAGGGATTAAGTGCCAGAATTAAGGTCTAGTTGGAGGTAGAACAGAACATTAGATTCTGGTTCGTTCTCCATCAACTTCTTCAGGGTAAGAGCAACAGAAGTGTAGAGCCAAGGACAACGGATGATAGCAAGAGAGGTGATCATCCAGATGGGCAGATGGTCAGAGCCTGGAAGTGCCTTAGAGATCTGATCTGACCTCTGGATCCAAAAAAGAGTATGTTTGAGTCATTCTTTTCACTTGATAGAAAATTGTACAGTCAATAAAAGTGATCTTTTTTTCACTAAGAAAAATGCTTGTGATATGTTCTGACATGATATTGAACTTCTTCAAGAAATTCTTGACTTACATGAAAGTCCTGTTTCTAAGATAGAAAACATTTTTTATAATATTTTTAAAAATAAAATATTTAGACAAAGTCCATCAAAAATCTTTTTTTTTTTTTTTTAAAAAGATGACCGGTAAGGGGATCTCAACCCTTGGCTTGGTGTTGTCAGCACCACGCTCAGCTAGTGAGCAAACCGGCCATCCCTATATAGGATCCGAACCCGTGGCCTTGGTGTTATCAGCACCGCACTCTACCGAGTGAGCCACGGGCCGGCCTCAAAAATCTTTTTTTGTTGTTGTTCTTATTCCATCAAGATAAAGTAATAGGTCTCTCCTTAACTGAGAATTTTTTATGCCAGGCACAGAGTGGGCTACATGCTTTATTACACTCTTTCTTACAATAAGGAAAACTAAATTTAGCTTGATTTTTTTTTTTTAAATCCACCGAGTTGTACATTTAGCTTTATTTTAATTTCCATCCCAGACCTGTGCACAAGAGCTTTGGTTTGCAGTCAGAAGGAGTGTTTGAGAGTATTTGAATATTCTGTTTTACGCATGCTCATTTAGTGTCATCTGCTCGCATCCAGTCCCAACCTTCTTGTTCACCTTGTTCCTCCTGCAAAGACCTCCTACAGCTCCTTTATCCCACTGTGAAAACATTGAAATATGCATATATCATACATGCCTTTTGTTCCAGGGGCCAGAATTGTTCAGGGATGTGGCCATAGTTTTCTCCCAAGAAGAATGGCAATGTCTGAAGCCTGCTCAGAAGGATTTGTACAGAGATGTGATGTTGGAGACCTACAGCAACCTGGTCTCACTGGGTAAGGTGATGTGGTGTGTTAGTTTAGAGATTACCTTCGGGCATGTCCATTCCTTCCTGGTCATATTCTGGTTGCCTTTCAGTTTTGTGACTGGTTGGTCATTTCTGAGCAGTTAAAGGGCAGCCCATTGTCTTCCCTCCTATGGCCCTTCCTGCAACTGCCTCTCCTGCTTGATGACCAGGTCCTGAATCTGAATTCTGGGGCCCCCACACCATAACAGGGAGGCATGTTTCTTCTCATCTCCAGGTCTTGCCATTTCACAACCTGATGTGATCTCATTCCTGGAGCAAGGCAGAGAGCCCTGGATGGTGGAGAGGGCAGCAACAGGAAAACTGTGCCCAGGTGAGTGAGGCATTGATGGGAATGGAGCACCATCTACAGGTAACAGGTTAGTTGGTTGTCAAGGAAGCAGACCTTTGTGTTAGAAAATCTTCCTTCCAAGTTGCCAAATTCATATCTTAATCATCTTCCTCAGCTTGTCAGCAGCATTTGACAAAGGTGGTTGCTCCTTTCTTTCTGAAACATCTAAAACTTCAACCTGCATGTAGGGCTAGAGTGAATACGGATATGGTCGTTAATAAGGTAAGTATTTTCTCTTTGGAAAGATGTCCATAGCCTTTGATCATTTTTCAAAAGGAATTTATATCAGTTTGAATTTTGGAGAGTTGGTCCACAAGTATTTATTGAGCTTTTATTGTGCACCATGGAGTATGCACTGGTGAAGCAGGCAGGCAGGCAGACAGACATTATCCCTGCCTTCATGGAACTTATACTGTAGTAGGGAAATAGACACTAACGCACACATGCATGCATGCATGCACACACCCCCATCCACATAGATATGTGAAAGAACAGGTTTAATTGGGGTGCATGCTTGAGCTGATGGCCTCTCCAAGGAAAAGGCATTTCAGCTGAGACATGAAAGTTGAGTCAAAGTTGGTGAAACATTAGTCCTAGCCAGTATGTGTGAAGGTCCTAAGCAGGGAAAGCCCTTGCTGATTCTGAGAGAGTGGACAGTGAGTGTGACTGGAGTCTATGAGCAAGGGAAGGAACACAAAGAGATACAATAGGAAAGGCAGACATGTTAAGTTGGATTCTGTGCTGTGGGCATTGGGAAGCCAGTGTGGCAGTAGAGCTGAGTCATGATTTGTAGGGACCTACTTTAAGAATATATAAATATGCTCCTCACACATTTTTCACCTGCTAGATTCAGAATTCACTGATAACTTTCTCTTGGAAATAGTAATTTAAAAAAAACTTTATTATTTCTCATTTATTAGTTAGCATACTACTGTAAAGAAGAGTTTTCTCCTTTTCACCATTTATTTATTCATTTATATCAAATGGATTAGTAGATCTTATTTTATTCAGTAACAGATTATAAGCCATTATCATTTATCATGATGTTCATGTTTTTCCAAATTTGTCTAGTGAGAATCCTTTCAAACTGGCTCCTGTGTTCTTTGGACATGATTCCCATAATTTTTTTTTCATAAGCACATTTTAACTTTTTGACTTAACAATTCAAATAAAAGTTAGCTATTTAACATAAATACAGAGCAAGTGCACGTAATATACAGCCATGTATATAAATGCAAGAATAGCAAACCTCACGTGGATCAAAAGATATCAACTCTTACAAAGTTGACTATTTAGCTATGACTGATAGGTCATAATTTAATTCTTCACATATGCAAGGGGTATACATTTAAAATGTTTATTAACACAAAAACTAGAGTAAAATAAGAATTCTATGTTTCTGAAAGGAATAGCATAAAAGTCAGTGTATAGATTAAGATATAAGGGCATGATAGAGAGGTGATATGAGACGGCAGAAAGTACATTGTGTTAAGTGATTTTATATATTAAAAATCTTTCTAATTTAGGGGCCGGCCTGGTGGCGCACTGCTACAGCGCGCTGCTTGGGAGTGCGGCGGCACTCCCGCCGAGGGTTCGGATCCCACATACAGACCGGCCGCTCACTGGCTGAGCGAGGTGCGGGCGCAACACCGAGGGTTGCGATCTCGTTGCCGGTCCTGGTCCGGTACGGGCGCAACACTGAGGGTTGCAATCCGTTGCCGGTCACAAAAAAAGACAAAAAGGAAAAAAAAAATCTTTCTAATTTAAATCACTGGGAAATATCTACAAGGTATCTTCAAAAAGTTCATGGAAGGGCCGGCCCGGTGGCGCACTGGAGAGTGTGCCGCTTGGGAGTGCGGTGGCACTCCCGCCGAGGGTTCAGATCCCATGTGGAGACCGGTTCCCGCTCACTGGCTGAGCGCGGTGCGGGTGCAACACCGAGGGTTGCGATCGCGTTGCTGGTCCCTGGTACGGGCGTGACACCGAGGGTTGCGATCCCATTACCGGTCAGTAAAAAAAAGGAAAAAAAAAAAAAAAGTTCATGGAAGGGGGCTGGCCCGGTGGTGCACTCGGTAGAGTGCGGCACTTGGGAGTGTGGCGGCGCTCCCGTCGAGGGTTCGGATCCCTTATAGAGACCGGTCCGCTCACTGTTTGAGCGCGGTGCGGGCGCGACACTGAGGGTTGCGATCCCATTGCCGGTCGCGGTGTGGGCGTGACACTGAGGGTTGCGATCCCGTTACCGGTCACGCAAAAAGACAAAAAATAAAAAAAATTTTAAAAGTTCATGGAAGGATTCGTATTATCTTTTAATTCAACTTTTCCATGAATTTTTTGAAGTACTCTCATATTCTTAGGAATGTTAAAGTCATGATCAATTTTGGAAGAGGAAAAGGCTGAACAATTTATTTTTCAGCCGGAAAGTGTTCCCTACCAGCAGTCTGGGCAGAAGGTCATGTAAACAACTTAGTATTGGGCATGAAGAAAAATGAAAGAGTCAGAGGGAAATTGATTTCTAGCCTTTAGGTCTTTAAAATGCAAGTCAACATTTTTAGTAATTTAAAACAAATCTGGAAATGATGAAATGTTTATACTTCAGTAAGAGTCACTGTTCATTTTTTTTTAACAACCCAAACTGCTGGTCCTAATATAATAAAGTTGTTCCATATTGTCATTAGATGTTTTTAGAAGACAAAAGGCAGGGTTAAATAATCTAATAATAGTCTGTCATGGTTTCACAATTACAAATCAATTGTGGGCTCCATCTAGTAAAGTTAGTTTCACAGTTACATACATAATGAGAATTACAACAAAGCTTTAGTGACATAGCTTTTTGAGGTATGCTTTTAAAAGCGCTGTATGGTATCCCACAATCACAGGATTGATAATCCTCAGATTTGGGCTTTGAAACTGAGAAAACTTCCTATGAGCCAGTGGATTCAAGAGTTTTATCTGCTGCTTTGTTAGAGTACTACAGCATCTATTGAAGTAGTACTTTCAGTATCTACTGCTTTGACTTGAATAGGTTCAATTCAACTTTCTATAATACAAGTGCAACCGTTCTGAAAAATGCTTACTATCTCTATATTAGAATAAACAAGTTTTATTTGATAGAAAACAAGATACAGTCAGCCCTCTATCCATGGGTTTCAGGAAAAAAGTTGCATCTGCACTGAACCTTTGAAGACTGTTTTTCTTGTCATTATTCCCTAAACAATCCAGTATAGCTATTGTTTACATAGGATTTACATTGTATTAGGTATTATAAGTAACCTAGAAATAATTTAAAGTATTTAGGAGGATGTGCATAAGTTATATGCAAATACTACACCATTGTATATCAGGGACTTGAGCATTCATGGATTTTGGTATCTGTAGGAGGTCCTGGAACTCATACCCCACGGATACAGAGGTACGACTATATAGTTTTTAAAAATGTTCAATGCTTTGCATATACTTTTTTCCTTCTTAAATATTTGAATCAATAATAATGATTAAAAAAAAACTCCAAAGAAATATTTTGGAGACAGACTTTATATAGAACTTCCACATATAGTTTTTTTGGTTTTGTATTTTAATTATTGATGTCATACAAAGTAAATTGCAGATTGTACTTTGTTGGGGAAAAAAAACTTGATTAAAAATAAACTTCATTGCTCCTTCCCAGTTGTTGCCCCCAAAAACAAAAGACTCCAGGGTCTGTTTTCTTTCTAGTACATACATAATACTTTTAAAAGCTTAGTATAATGCATGAATAATGCCATAAGTTTTATGTGCTGAATACAAAAGGATTAGAATACGTGTTCATCCTCAAAAGGCACCTGTTACAAATTTGCTACAGCTAAACAATGTGTTTCTTAGCTGCTGATTTTTATATCATTCTTTTATCATTTGTGGGATACTACATCATTAAGATTAAGGAGAATCTCTTTCCTACATTCAACACAATTAATGTTAAGGAATCTTCAATTGTTGTCAGGCATTTTGTAAATGGCACCTGAAAAGGCAAACATTGTAGATTGAGACTTTACAGAATGAAGTAACAAACCCCCATTTTTTGTTTTTCAGTAATTGTCTCCAAATTGATTGGAATATTTTTGAATCCAATCAAAGCACCTCAGAAATATTCAGTTACTATTGATTAAAATGAATTTGAGAAGCTGAGAGAATTTTTTTTTTTTTGTCTTTTTTTTTACTGACCAGTAACGGGATCGCAACCCTCGGTGTCGCGCCTGCACCGGGGACCAGCAACGGGATCGCAACCCTCAGTGTTGCGCCCGCACCACGCTCAGCCAGTGAGCGGGAACCGGTCTCCACATGGGATCCAAACCCTCTGTGGGAGCGCCACTGCACTCCCAAGAGGCGCACTTTCCAGTGCGCCACCGGGCCGGCCCGAAGCTGAGAGAATTTAAAACGACATTGTTTTTCACTGGTGACAGCAGAGAAAGCTTGGCAATTTTCAGTACTGTTAGGGGCACCACAGTGTACCCAGATTACTTAAAACACTTACATTAAAGATCTCCAAAACAACATATCTTTAAAACCCTGAAGAATATTATGAACATGTTTCTGCTTAATATTAGCCAATATTTTTATTAAAAAAAAAAACTTGACATGGAGTTCTCTCCTACTTTTTCACTCCTGAAAAAGGCCACAAAGTACATTCACAAAGAGTCATTAAGATAAAGCCACTGCACAGAATGTACAGCTCATATATACTGAAATAAGTATCTCACTGGAATTTAATTGTACATATTTTATACACCAGTATAGCAACATCCATAGGCAGAAATCGCTTAACAGAATTACACTGAATAGTGTCCTTAAGGACAGTGCACATGACATATTTAAAGTATTAAAAGGTGCAGTTGACTCTGCTCTCTCTGCTTCCACCATCTTGCAATGAGACAGAGACCCCTGGGTCAACTGTTGCCATCACCAGATGGACTTTGGACTTCCCAACCTCAGAAACTACAAGCAATAAATTTTGTTTTCTTTATAAATCAAAAAGAAAAAAAAAGGTGCAGTTGAACCTTAATAGCAACTTTTAAAAGCACTATCTTGTTAGCACATTTTCTTAAATGAACTTGGATCTTTCTATGATTTACTATTCAGGAAATTAAGACAAAATAAAATTCTTGTCAAAAGCACTTTGTTCGTTTACAAAACTGTAAGTCTACTGAAATCACAACCTGCTGAATTAGACAGTAGAGGGCCCCTTTTCTATAATTTTGTATTGTTCCAGATGTTAATGTAATGTCACCTTAAAAAACTTATAAGGGAAAAGCTGAAAATTACCATATTCTCTACAAAATACATGTAGTCTTGAGAGATCTTCTGGAAATAATTAAAAGGTTCAAAAGCTTAATGTGAAAACAAGCAAAGAAAAATTCAGAAGTGGTAAAGTTTTCCTCCTTTAAGCAAATGATACCTATGTATGATAAATACAAGTAGGCGATAATTCAGGTTTATAATTAATAAATCACTGAAAAGACAGTAAGTTGCATTCTAGCTGTCTTCATGTACCACAGAGTTAGAGAAGATATGCGGATGTGCTCATATCACTGGAATGGCCAAGAATCAACATAGTATTGTTCCCAGTTATTAATAGTTTGTCCTCAGTTATTACCACTTGAGTTTGATGTGCTAACAAACAGTTGGAATGCCCAAATTATGCTAAACATCAAGTACCTGTTAGAAGAGGAAACCCAAACATTTTTATGTTAGGTCTATACTAAAATTTTTAGACATTGTTTCATGGGTTGTCCAAAACAGTGACTACTAAATGCCCAAATAATTAACTTTAAAAATACTGTGCCAGACCTTGAGGAAATACGAAAACACAGGCCTCATTATTTTTGTTGCCATTTTGCAAATTTCTAAGGAGTTAACAGAAGCCAGAAGTTTAGAAATTTATGACTGTTAGTACAATCTTTGGATAGTTGTACAGTACACAAAGGTACTTCAAAAATTTCTTGGGAAGATTTGTGTTTTTCAATTCTGTTTTCCCACAAAGTTTCTGAAGTACCTTCGAATAATAAGGGATGGCCTTATTTAAAGAGTGGAAAAGTGTTCATGGAATAAACACCACCATACTCTGCCATAAATCAACAAAACTCAACTGTGTGAGATGGATGTAGTAGAGAAAATGGCATTTTGGAGAAAGGAGTGCTTTTAAAGGCATTTCCTTGCAAGCAGCCAAAGTTTTTTCCACATTGCCAGAAAAGACCAAGTCATGTGTGATTAATTCCTATGACCGAATGTCTATTTAGGCATAGTTAGCTGTTCCTAAACTATTTTTCTTCTGTCCATCAGGTTGGTTTTAATATCCCATGTCCATGCAGTCTCTTGGTTTTCCTTTTTTTGTAGGATGGCAACCAGATGTCCTAATCATTGAGTAGATCAGTGCATAAGTGGCCGTTATAATGGCTTTGTTTGGAATCTGTCTCAGCAGATGACTTGCTAGACCACAGTAGAAAGACCCATAACCTTTCTCTTGAACAACCAAACATGGTATCTGAAAAAATACCTTTACTTTGTGCCCTCTTTACATAGTCTTGTTCTTATACTATGCTCTGTAGTTGTGGCACACGATTTTGGGGTAACAGCTACCAACATCATTCCCACAAAATCTTATCCATATTTCACAGACTTCATCATCTTCCATTGTAGAAGCAATCTTAATTCCAGTAGTTTTTGCTTAGTACCTTAACAAATAACAAAATGAGGAAGTCTCTGTACACCATGATATGAAACAGGCGTGCACCTATAAAGTCCTCTAATGCTGTCTGATACACTTTATGAACATATTCAAAAGCACCCATTCGCTTCCCCCCCATGGCTCCTCACATCAAGCTGTAACTGAATCTTTTCAAACTAGATGAGGTTGGTTGCTATAATTGCAGTAAAACTTGCCACTGCAGCTGAAATCATGTACAAGGTAGAATCAGGATCAAATACACCATTCAACTTTTCCTTGCAATTTGAATAAGCAGCAAAGTATGTTGTTCTGGAAGGAGTCCACTCCCAGTATATTGGGCCTAATCCTATAAAGGAACAAGGCCCCTTCTTTTTCCAAGGTTACCTTTAAGCATTGGAAACGTCTGGAAGATGCTACTCAGTTGACAGTGACTTCAGCCAAGGTGTTAGAGCTAAGCTTCAGATGTAGAAAACATCACAAAAGAAGATGACAGCCATGTTATTACAACTTCCAGAGGAAATGTGATAAAAACTGTTCCACTACATCCCCTGGCAGATGGATGTACCAACGTGTTCCTCTAGCTCATTCTCTCTCCCATATGTCCTCTGGGCACTGAGGCTAGACTCGGATCCAGCCACATACCCCTTCTGTCATTTTTATTTTTAGTTTTGTTTTTTTAATTGTGGTGAAATACACATAACAAAATTTACCATCTTAACCATTTTAAAGTATACAGTTCAGTAGTATTAAGTACACTTGCATTGTTGTGCAAACGTCACTACATACATCTCCAGAACTCTTTTCATCTTGCAAAATCCCCATCATTTTTTAAAATCTCTGTTGTACTGTAATTTATATTCATTAAAATGCACGTTTTATGTGTAGTATTGATGGGTGTTGAGAAATTTATACACCTGCATAACCACCACCACATTCAAGACAGAGAACAGTTCCATCACCCTGAGAAGTTCCTTGTGTTCTTTCCCACACAATCCCTCATCTACAGCCCCAGGAAGCCAATAATTTGCTTTCTGTCACCCTAGGTTATATTTGTCTTTTCTAGAGTTCCATAAAAACATTCATTTTTTAGAAAACGTGGCTTAGAGGTGATTCTGATACATACTGTTTTAGAACTACTCTTAATAACCTCTGTGATTTCTTTCATCTCATTTAAGGTATTTCCCTTTTCTCTATTCTACTTGCCCACTTTCTAATTGCTTAGCCACATTCAAGAGCTTATAGGTATTATTTTGAGTCTAAATATTGCTGTTTTTACTATACTTCCTTTCTCTAGAAAAGGAAAAAACAAATGCTTTTTTTGTTCTTTTTCAGTATTGGAGTCTGGACATGATACCAAGGTATTATTTCCAAAGCAGCATGTATATGAAGTTGACTCATCCCAGTGGAAGATAATGGAAAGCTTTACAAGTTATAGTCTTGAGTGCTCAAGTTTCCAAGATGATTGGGATTGCAGAAGCCAGTATGACAGACAGCCAGGAAATTCAGACAGACATTTCAGTCAAATGATGATCAGTCATGAAGAAATTCCCACTTTTGACCAGCAAGCATCCTGTACTTTTTATCAGAAAATACATCCTGGAGAAAAACCCTATGGATATAATAAATGTAGAAAAGACTTCTGGCAAGAAGAATTCCTTATTAATCATCAAGGAATTCACACTAATGAGAAACCATATAAGTGTAAGGAATGTGGGAAGGCCTTTAAATATGGCTCACGACTAATTCAACATGAGAATATTCATTCTGGCAAGAAACCCTATGAATGTAAGGAATGTGGAAAGGCCTTCAATTCCGGTTCAAATTTCATACAACACCAGAGAGTTCATACTGGTGAGAAGCCTTATGAATGCAAGGACTGTGCGAAGGCCTTTAGTCGAAGCTCACAATTGATTGAACATCAGCGAATTCATACTGGAGAAAAACCCTATCAGTGTAAGGAATGTGGCAAGTCCTTCAATCGCATCTCACATCTTAAAGTTCATTATAGAATTCATACTGGTGAAAAACCCTATGCATGCAAGGAATGTGGGAAGACCTTTAGTCATCGGTCTCAGTTGATTCAACATCAGACTATTCATACTGGCAAGAAACTCTATGAATGTAAGGAATGCGGGAAGGCCTTTAATCAAGGTTCAACTCTTATTCGACATCAGAGAATTCATACTGGTGAGAAACCCTATGAATGTAAAGTATGTGGAAAGGCCTTTAGAGTGAGCTCACAACTTAAGCAACATCAGAGAATTCACACTGGAGAGAAGCCCTATCAATGCAAGGTATGCAGTAGGGCCTTTAAGCGTGTCTCACATCTTACTGTACATTATAGAATTCATACTGGTGAGAAACCATATGAATGTAAGGAATGTGGGAAGGCTTTTAGTCATTGCTCACAACTGATTCAACATCAGGTAATTCATACTGAGGAAAAGCCCTATGAATATAAGGAATGTGGGAGGAATTTAAGTCATGATTCAACTACTGTTCAGCATCAGAGGATGCATAATAGAGGAACACATGTGAATATAATAAATGTAGAAAAGCCTTCCATCAGCACTTATCCATTATTAATCATCAGAGAATTTATGTTGGCAAGCAACCATATGAATGGAAGTAATGGGGAAAGTCCATTAGCTTAAGCTAATCACAGCTTACCTCCTGCATCTTGAAGAAATCCATTATTAATCATCAGAGAATTTATGTTGGCAAGCAACCATATGAATGGTAGTAATGGGGAAAGTCCATTAGCTTAAGCTAATCACAGCTTACCTCCTGCATCTTGAAGAAAGACTTAAGGAATGTAATTCAAGTGAGAATGCCTTCGTTCAGAACTTATCTTTTATCCAATGTCAGAAAATTCATATCAAAGAAAGATTTTATCGATGTAAATTGTTTAGGCCATGCTTGTCAAAGAAGCATGGAAAGGTTGGAAAAACTTTTTTCATAACACATTCCAGAATCACATTTTCTAACCACTGCGTGGTTAAATTTAACAAGAATCAAAAGTTTTAGTTTTCTTGGAGATAACAAAAACACAGCCAAATTACTCTTGGGTTAACAAGGAAATAAATCTTGCAGTTCTATGAATGGTAATGAAAAGAATAAATTGAGAGTTTTACATGCCAAGAGGTGAGATGTAGCCAAAACTGGAGGAATTTTTACAGTCTTTAAATGTATGTGCATGCATTAAACCTGAAAGATTATATTCACATGCATTGAATAAGCTACTCAAGACTAGCAAACACCCAAGCAATGAAAGAACAAATTAAAATAAAAACAGCAAATGATGAAATAGAAAATGATCATTTTATAATAATCTCAGTTTTTATTTCTTCCTGATTCAAGAGTAATCTAAATTTAGTAGAATGCTTCCAAATTTCCACATTGTTAAATTGTTTTATCTTGCATGACTTCTGTCACAAACATTGGTTGCCTATCCAGCAGCCATACCCAGGTCCCCTTATTGGCAGCATCTGTGTCTTGCCTTAGAATCTGAAGATATTGGATGCTAACTTTCCAGCCTCCTTGTGCAGCTCGAGGTAGCTGATTTGTCTCAGTGTTGGCTAGTGGGATCTGCTGGGGCTTCTGGGAAAGGTTTTCCTCATTTAGAGGAGATAGAGACAGGTTTTGCAGATTCCCTCCCTTCTTACTTCCTGCTTTTAAACATTTTCCTATGAGAACATGGTGCCTGGAGCTGGAACAAAGAGGAAAAAACAAGACCTCAGAGCACAAACTTATCTTGGAACAAAAAAGAAAAAACAAGACCTTAGAGAAGCTAACCCAAACCCCTGACGACACTTCAGCTACTAAGGCCAATACTGGAACTGCCTCTTCGATGCCTTGTTATGGAATAAAAATAAACCTTTATTGCTGAATTTATTTTTAGTTGGATATTTTCTAAATTTGCAGTTGCAAGCATTCTAAATGATGTAACTTCAAATTTTATTTTATTGTGATTGGTAAATGTGGCCTATAAATACCTACTTTTTTGAATTTGACATTTTTCTTTGTGGTTAAATACAGAATTAACTTTTGTATATGTTCCATGAACACTGAAAAAATATGTATTGTATTTTGTTGTTATTTTTGGTGGTTGGCTGGTACGGGGAACTGAACCCTTGATCTTGCTGTTAGAAGGCCATGCTCTGACAAGCTGAGCTAATCAGCCATTCCTGTATTGTACATTTTTAGATACATTTCTAAATGAGTCTATTAAGCCAGTGGATTAAAATGATAAAACTCTCAATGTTCTTACCTAATTTGGTATGCTAGGTCAGAATTTCCTAAAATTGACATTTTGTTTTTTTGTTTGTTTTTTTAACCAAGATCTCTTTGAACTTCCAGAAGTTTTTGCTTTTATGTGTAATTTATGTTGTTTGACCTATAAAGACATATTACTCTCTATTTAGGACTCGTACTTTTTATCATTACATAATACCCCATTTTGCCAGAGCAGGGATCCACAAACCAAATCCAGCCTGCCACCTATTTTATAAATAAAGTCTTATTGGAATACAGCCACACTCATGTGTTTATCATCTGTAACGGCTTTTGCACCAGTACAGCAGAGCTGAATAGTTGCAACAGCGACTCTATGGCCACAAAATATATTTACTGTCACATTTTTTAGATAAAAAGTTTGCCAGTCCCTGGCCCAGGGCAATTCTTTTGGTATTTCGTTTCTAGTGTTTAATACTTGTTAACAGTAATTTATCTTGGTTTACCTGGTATATTTTTGCCCATTGTTTGTTTTCAGCCCATCACTTTATTTTAAAACATAGCTGATTTTCCAAAACTCAAACTATGAAATCTTTTTTTCTAAGGGAAATGCACATTATCATATAGTGTAATGATTCAACTTCATTCTTTTCATTTTACATTGTGATACTTATGTCACCTTGCTATTTTTCTTTCCTTATATTGGCTGATTGTTCCCCTTTTCTCTTGCAATATTGGATGATGAAATAGAAAATGATCATTTTATAATAATCTCAGTTTTTATTTCTTCCTGATTCCGCGA